GATGTATAAATACAAAAAATCGTATTGGTCGATTAATTAAGCATATTTTTGGCTCATATTTATATTTATAAAACTTTAATTATTTTTGTTTATACATTTCGAAAGTCTCTCATACTTATTCATCTTAGATTATAGTACCAATAAACTTATGGTGTTAATGAATATAATTGCACACTAATACACCATTACTTTCCCATTAATTACACCTCCCACCACCCACTAACGCTCTACTTCACTCCTCTTTTAACAGTTTCTCTATCATTCTGCAAACCTACCCACTGAAACCANTCCCACCACCCACTAACGCTCTACTTCACTCCTCTTTTATCAGTTTCTCTATCATTCTGCAAACCTCCCCACTGAAACCACAACAATGGCGATAAAACCAAACCGGTTACACTCTACTCTCCTTCTCCTTCTCTTTCTCCACCACTGTACTCCTTCCTCCGCTGCTTCGAACCCAGATATCGAACCTCTTCTACTCTTCAAATCTGCCGCTGACCCATCAAACATCATTCTCACCTCCTGGAACTTCACCTCTGATCCATGCACTGCTTCATGGATTGGAGTTTCTTGCATTCACAGCAGGGTTTCTCGTGTAGTCCTCGAAAATATGAACCTCCGAGGACAGGGACTGTTAAACCCGCTTACTTCGTTAACCCAACTACGGGTCCTCAGTTTGAAACAGAACAGTTTTTCTGGTCCCATCCCGGTGCTTTCGAATTTAACCAGTTTGAAACTGCTGTTCCTTTCTCACAACGAGTTTTCGGGGGAGTTTCCACTTTCAGTGGCTTCTCTTTCAAAGATTTACCGCCTTGATCTGTCTTATAATAATCTCTCTGGTAATATTCCTTTGAGCTTGAATCACTTGAGGCATCTGCTTACTTTGAGGTTAGAAGAAAACGGGTTTTCGGGTTCTATTTCTGGTTTGAGCTTGCCTAGTTTGCAGGATTTCAATGTTTCGGGTAATGCACTAGCCGGTGAGATACCCACTTCGCTTTCGGGTTTTCCTGCATCGGCATTTGCGAAAAACTCGGTTCTATGTGGGGTTCCGTTGGAGAAATGTAAGGTAATTTCTAGCGAACCGACCCGACCCGGGGCAATGGCGTCGCCGTTGAGTCCTAGAAGTACTGTTGCCTCGTCGCCCAGCTCAATGCCTGTGGAAACTAAGCCGTTGGTTAAATCGGGAAACAATCGGCATTCCAAGATTAGTTCGCTGGCAATAATCGCCATTATTCTCGGCGATGTTTTGGTCCTCGGCGTGGTTTCCTTACTCCTATACTGTTTCTTTTGGAAGAACTACTCGAAGAAGATGTCGCAAAAGAGCGGGTCGTCCCACGTCGAGAAAATAGTATATTCTTCGAGCCCATATCCGCACCCGATTAACGGGGCTCAGTCTGGTTATGAAAGAGGTAAAATGGTGTTTTTCGAAGGGGAACAGAGGTTTGAGCTGGAGGATTTGTTGCGGGCCTCCGCTGAGATGTTGGGCAAAGGGGGATTTGGGACTGCATATAAAGCTGTTTTGGATGATGGGAATGTGGTGGCAGTGAAAAGATTGAAGGATTTGAGTGTGAATGGGAAGAAAGAGTTCGAGCAGCAAATGGAGATTTTGGGAAGATTAAGGCACCCAAATTTGGTTAGCTTAAAAGCCTATTATTTTGCTAGGGATGAGAAGCTGTTGGTCTATGATTACATGCCTAATGGAAATTTGTTCTGGCTTCTTCATGGTGAGCATTTCCAGTGTAATTTCCCATTTTGACCGATGGTATATGCATAATAATTATCTTTTTCGATATATCAGGTTGATTTTTCTGTGATTGTGGTAATATTTTTGTCTGCAAATAGCATGTTTCACATGGGGTTTAGAGTTATTTATCTTCTTTGCCTTGTCGGTATTAGATAGGATTTGACATTGTTAAGAATGGGATGCATGTGGTATAATTTGTTGAGTTAGTCACCAAAACGGCAAAACAAACATGCCGCTGGTGTTTACTGTTTCATCATAGTCTTTTTCGTAATGAGCTGGTGTCAATGTCTCACCATTTTAGCAGTAGCTATTGAGGAGGATCCATGAGATTGTTAGTTGAAGTGCAAGTAGAGTATGAGAAGCAGGTGTTAGTGAATCGTGGGAAGATGATTCAATTTATTTGAAGGGTTTTTGTTTAAGATAAAGACATTTCACTTTGTGAATTGATAAGAAAATAAGTTTGATCTGGCAAAAAGATAGATTCTGTTACTTTCATTGGTTCAGGTTTTGTATGCTGGTAGCTGTTTTCATGATTTCATCTGTTGGAACAAGAATTTCATTAGGAGTTTTCCATGTTTATCTCATTTCCTTCTTGACTTGTTAGTAGTTACCAGAGAATGTGATCATTTCTGCTTAAGAAAATTTGGTTAAAATTCCCTTGAAATAGCCCTTCTATTAACCTTAGTTTGATACGTGTATAATTTGCAACGAGTAGTTTTCTCTGATAAAGATGTCTTCATTTGTCCCTACAATCTAATTTTAAGAAGATAAAAAGATTAGTAGTTGAAGTTTGATAATTGGTTGATTGAGAGCTCAAAAAGCTTTGTTGCTGTTGTTTATGAATTCTTTGTTTGTTTATTTATACATATGATGGGAGCTTGATGTTCCACTTTATTAGGTATGGGGTTCACGTGCTGTAAAAATACTTGATGGTCAATTTATTGTCTCCCATTTGAAAATGTCTGGGTGCTAAGTTTACCTTAAACTGGAGAGTGGACGGTGAACTTAGCTATTCTTTGCTTTTGGAATTATATGGCCATGGGTCCCCCAGTCACAAATTGTTTGATTGTTCATTCACCCTCCATCTCCACTTGCACAATTATGCAGTGTCTTCAAATCGTTTTTTTTTTTTTGGTTCTGCCTTTTGAGCGACTTTTAGCTGTGCTCTATCCTCAGACTCTTACAGTCCCCTTGATCACATCTATATTTTCCTCCTCGCGTTTTTAAATTCTTCTGCTATATGATTGGATCGGTTTCTCATGCAACATGATTGCCACATCCTTGATTGATGGATAATTCATGTAGTTTGGAACAGTTGTTTCTTATTCGTACAAGATATAATGGGCTTTTTTTAAATAATCTTTACAGGAAACAGAGGACCTGGAAGAACTCCGCTAGACTGGACCACGAGGTTGAAGATTGCAGCTGGAGCAGCTCAAGGATTAGTCTTCATTCACAACCCATTCAAGTCCCTTAGGCTCACGCATGGCAATATCAAATCCACTAACATCCTCGTCGACACATCTGGCAATGCTCGGGTATCAGATTTTGGCCTCTCAGTTTTTGCATCACCTTCCAACTTCCCAAAATCAAATGGCTACAATTCCCCTGAAACAGTACTGGAAGGTCGGAAATTAACACAAAAATCTGATGTGTATTCATTTGGGGTCCTATTGCTAGAGCTGCTAACAGGAAAATGCCCCTCTGTTGTGGACAATGGTGGAGCCGGCCCAGGGTACAATGGGGTCATTGATTTGCCGAGGTGGGTGCAGTCTGTAGTGAGAGAGGAGTGGACCGCTGAGGTGTTCGATTTGGAGCTTATGAGGTACAAAGATATCGAAGAAGAGATGGTGGGTTTACTGCAGATAGCGATGGCATGTACTCAGGCTTCACCGGATCAAAGGCCAAAGATGAACTACGTGTTGAGAATGATAGAAGAGTTACGAGGAGTCGAGGTGTCACCATCACATGAGACCCTTGATTCTGTTTCAGACTCGCCATCAGTGTCCGAAGATGCATGCCGACCAAGTGAATAATTAACGGTTAGTAGTTGAAGGTTTTATTTGTTTGCATTTCCAAGTTTTGTAAACACAAATGTTTATCGAGCAGGTCTCAGAATAGAATGTTTCAGTATTAGGTCATGTGTTAAATTGTGAGTATGCTTGCTACTTAGATGCTTTCCACTGTTACATGCTGCATTCTTAGCTCTTTGCTACCACGAGACATCCTTCCCAGTTCTCTCATACCAGAAAAAAGGTTCTCGACCTCTAGATGCTCAAAACTCACTTAACTGAATTGAAAGGCATTCACGACAGATTCACAGTACAACTCTTTGTTGCGTGTGGCTTGAATGTCTGGTAAGCACTCAAGATGCTGCATTAAAAAAATTCCCCTGGCTAGAGAGATTCTAAAAGTAAAGTTATTTCAATGCGAAAAGAAGGCTCGACTCCAAGTCATTCAAGAATAGTGGCGTTGAGTTTCTCTATTGGAAGGCTTGGGAACTTCATTTAAAAGTCAAA